CTTTAGCATAGCAGAGCACAGCATAGCATAGCGTAGCATAGCATAGCGCCGCACAGCATATCATAGCATAGCCCAGCATAGCACAGCATAGCGCAGCATAGCATAGCATAGCATGACTTAGCATAGCATAGCATAGCGCAGCACAGCACAGCACAGCATAGCACAGCGCAGCATAGCATAGCATAGCATAGCGTAGAGCATAGCAGAGCATAGCATAGCATAGCATAGAGCAGCTTAGCATAGCATAGCATGGCTTAGCACAGCACAGCGCAGCATGGCATAGCATAGCTTAGCATAGCCTTACATAGCATAGCATAGCATAGCATAGCATAGCATAGCATAGCATAGCATAGCATAGCATAGCATAGCGCAGCATATCATAGCGCAGCATAGCATAGCATAGCGTAGCATAGCATAGCGCAGCATAGCATAGCAACTAATGCTGCTTTCCTAGGGGCTCCAACTTCTAGGTAGGGTCGCACTGGGGTAATTCGTTCCTCAGAATGTGAATCGTCAATGATTGTACTCGTGGCCTGAGGTTCGGGACCGCGTTTGCACGAACACGATTCCGTGGGTCGGGGCCCTGCCTACGCCGTTCGGGGTGCTCCGCGGGACCCTCATCGGTCGCATGTGCCGGGCCTGCCGTTTACAGCTGAGTCACCTCACTACGTTGCTACATATCCAAGAATATCTATTGGAGTCGTTCTTGTTGGGGCACCCCAAGTATATCCTCCGAGCTCTCGTGCATTCCCTACCCAACTATCCCGCCATCCGTTTGACTCGAGAAAGTCTCAGTTCTGGATTCGGGCCACGGTGTAACTGGACGCACTGAGGTCTGCACTCATGGGCAAAGGAGGAGCAGGCCGAAGTTTCTCCGACGGAAGAAAAGGTGACTCTCGTTCAGGGGATCGTGACCGTGACTGTGACCGCTACCACAGGGGCCAGCGTGACCGGGATCGTGATCGGGACAGACACAGGAGTCGACGACCACGCTCGAGTTCATCATCAGAGTCGAGGGGTGGCCAGGAAGCACGACAACTGGAGAAGCACAAGCGCTGGATGTACAAGCACGACCCCTCGTACGCTGCCTTCATTGACCAGCGTGAGCAGGAGCTTCGTGACATCGAGGTGCGCGCGGCGTCTCTCGGGAGGGAGCCGAGAGAGGGAACGAGCGAGTCAGCGACCAAAGGATCGATCCCAAGCAGAATACTGCCATGGCGCTGCTAGAAGGGACGCGAAATAAGAAACGAAGCCCATTTTCCCAAAATCAAGCCATACATTTTCGGGGAGGAGCGGTCGAGCCCCCTTTGAGGGGCGTTCACTCGTCGTTGCCTCTCGTTTTGAAAGTGGCCCCTGCCCGCCCAAGGAACGCCGAGGGGGGCTCCCTGCCAAAATTGCGAGGGAACGCAAGCAAACCCAAGGAACCACCGAGCCCTTTCCAAACCCAAACTGGGCGTTAGTTCAGCGCCTTGACTGTACAGAATCGTCTGAGCAGCAGCACGCAGCCGACCCTCCCCCAGGCGACCCAGACACGTCGGGGCACGCCAAGGCGTCGGGGGCGGCGCGCTGAGCAGCGGACGGCTGATTTCTTCCTCCTCCGCCTCCTCCTCATCCTCTGCCACCATCCTCCTCCTCCTCCTCCTTCTCCTCCTCCTCCTCCTGCACCTCCTCCTCATCCTCCTCCTCATCATCATCATCATGATCCTCTGCCACCGTCCTCCTCCTCATCCTCCTCCGCCTCCTCCTCCGCCTCCTCATCCTCCTCCCTCTCCTCCGCATCTTCTTCCTCCGTCTCTTATTATGTTTCAAAGTATTGTCACGAATTGTACTGCTAATGTCCTTAACAGTTATATAATGAATAGTACCAACATTATAAGAAGCGTTGGTCTTGTTATGATAAATAATAGCACGATGAATGAGAGTACTGATAATAGTGATGGTACTATTCGCACTCAAGTAATAGTATTAGTACTACTACGACTACCACTACCACTACTACTACTACTACTACTACTACTACTATTACTACTACTACTACTACTACTACTACTACTACTACTACTACTACTACTACTACTACTACTACTACTACTACTACTACTACTACTACTACTACGACTACTACTACTACTACTACTACTACTACTACTACTACTACTACTACTACTACTACTACTACTACTACTACTACTACTACTACTACTACTACTACTACTACTACTACTACTACTACTACTACTACTACTACTACTACTACTACTACTACTACTACTACTACTACTACTACTACTACTACTACTACTACTACTACTACTACTACTACTACTACTACTACTACTACTACTAGGAGGAGGAGGAGGAGGAGACGAAGAAGTGGTGGTCGTAGTAGTATGACTAGTAGTACAAAGACGACTGCAACGTATGATACTGATCGTAACAAACATACAAGTAATCATGATGACGTTGATACAGCTCGTGAAAATATTCTTGTTATCGAAAATAAAAAGATTGACGTTAATCCTGTAACTAAAATTAGGTGCTGACATTGATGTTAGTAGTGGTATTAGTAGAAGTTGTACTATGAGTATGCGTTGTAGTAATAGCAGTCGTAATAGTAGTGTTGCGTTGCATTGGTGCTACTATCCGTGACATTATAATATTATTGGTATTGTGGCTCGTCTCAATGTAGCAGTCGTAGTATTAGGTGCCTTGCTTATTATCATAACTCGCATTCCTAGTAGCATTCGTTTCATGCTTGTTACTAGTATGCATAGTATTAGTCGTATGATCCTTCCTCCTCCTCCTCCTCCTCCTCCTCCTCCTCCTCCTCCTCCTCCCTGTTCTCTACTCCCTCCACCTATCTTCCTCCTCCTGCTCATCCTCCTCATCCCCCCCTTCCTCCTCCTCCCTCTCCTTGTCCTCCCTCTCCTCCTCCTCTTCCTCCTCTTCTTCCTCCTCCTCATGTACTGCCTCCTCCTTCCTTCATCTCCCCGCCTCGTGCTCGCTGATCTATCCCCCCTTCTCCTGAGTCCCTCCCCCTCTTTGGACCCCCCGGCGGAGACGGGGTGGCTGGTCGCTCCACTCCGAACGTCGGAGGAGGGCCAGCGGAGACGACGGCGGCTCTCCAGCCTGCCCCAATCAGCTCAAAATCGGCCCCCAGACCCCTACCGGGGATCCTGACCCGTTCCTCGAGACGGGGCCAACAGCGGCGACGGGAGGCCCCCCCAGAGGCCCGGAGAAAGGACGAGCACCGCCAGGGAGGCCCGCCGCTGTCTCGACTGGGCCCTCGTCGCCCCAGCCCCGTTACAAAAGGGACTTAGAATCCCGGGCAGCAGACGAGCTGCCGGCGCCCGCCGCGCCAGCGCACCTGGGCGCGCTCGGGCCGAAAGAGCAGCCCTGGGCGACCACCGCCTCGTGCCAAACGCACGAGGGCGGGCTCGCCAGGGCCTGGCGGTCTGGTCTCGGGGCACTCCGTCGGACCGCGGACCGGCCCGCTCGCGACCGCCTCGTGGACACGCCGAGGCTGACCGCGGCGGAGGCGTCTCGGGCAGCCCTGCCTGTGAGTATCTCTTAACCGATCCCCATCCCCAGCGGCGTGGCCTGGGCCCCACTGGCCGATTTACCCCCCTAGATGGGGATACAGGTCGCTCTCTTCGGGTTTCGAGGAGCGTATCCCCAACTGGGGGTCTTGAAGGGGATGGGGATGGGGATTGGTTAAACGATACTGAGCCTGGCCGCCCCGCCCGGCCGGCTGTGCAGCCGGAGCGCCGCGTCAGTCCCAGTGCTGCGGGGGCGGCTTCGGGAGCGGCGGGCCGGCAATCTGCCCCTCGGCGAGCTCCCACAGCGCGGTGGCACGGGTGGTGGTCGTGGGCAGCAGAAACTGCGGCTCGTCGGACATCAGGATCCTTCGGGAGCATCCGAGAAGGGAGCGTCCAAGAGGGGGGGTCGCAAATCATGGCCTGAGGCATGTGCGCGGACCCGGGGTGGCCAGGAGACGCATTGAAAGAAGAAGAAGAAGAAGAAGAAGACGAAGAAGAAGAAGAAGAAGAGGAAGAGGAAGAGGAGGGGCCATGAGATCTGGGGAGATACCATGGCCCCCGCCACGATGCCCGCCCAGCTGGTCATCACCCCCCCTCTGGGCCGCCCCCGAGTCCTGCTCCAGGCGTGGGGTGCCGGAGTGGGAGGCGAGGGCGGAGCCTGCCGCCTCGGGGCCCTCGCCGCCAGGCTGGCGGTGTGCCTCGCGGAGCCGGCGGGGCCGGCACCGGGGCCGGACGTCCAGACGACCTCCTCGGGGGCGCAGAAGGACCTACACCACGCGAAATGATTAAGAAATCATGGGTTAAGAAATTAATGGTCTCAGAACTTGAATAAAAACCTAAAAAATCGATCAAAATCTTAGGATTTACATTGAAACGTTAAGAATAATCGAGACTCTGGCCGAAAACTTAAGTTTTCTTAAGCATCGCCTAAGGTGTACTGGTACTGCGTGCCCTCGTCGGAGGCGCACGTCCGAGCCGAACATATAGCAGAGACGGATGGCAGCGCATCGTTTCCCACGCGTCATGGGCGGAGAGCGCCCGCCACGGAGCATCTGCAGGATGAGAGTTCTGGGCATGCGCGCCGCCCTGCGTGGCCGACGCGCACATGGTGTAAGAATGTTTGGCTGGTGCCGATCCTCGCTCCAGATCTTCACGTTGCCAATCACTCCGCGGAAGACCTGGTCCTTGTACTGGTAGTGGCCGCCGATAAACAGATGCGGCCGCTCGTTGAAGTACGGAGCGTGCCCCTCTATCTCACCGACCAGGTGGCCATTCTTCCAGACTCGCATGCGCCCCGCGCGGCTCACGCTGAAAAGCGCCCTGATGCTTTTGCCTGGCTCGAAGAAGTTCCACACTTTCACTGTCTTCTTTTTCTTGCCCTTGAAGATTGTGAAATGCAAGTGGCTTGAATTGCCGAGGGCCCCAGCGGTGATGCTGTCGACATCAGCTTTGAAGGAGAAGTCAAATCTGCCAGACCCCCTTGCTGGGACCATATGGATGCGAAGGCCTTTAGATTTCAGCAAACAGCTTTGAGTCAGCTCAACGACGCAATTCGAAGCATCGCATTATGATGTGGCGCTCGACAAATCTGGCGACCGCGATCATCATTTCCGTCTCAACTCCGCCACCAACCTTCTCAATACATCCCACCAGTCCTCTGGGCGCAGGTTGTGTTGGTAACCCCCTCTTCCGACTCCCGTCTTCCCTTCAGGGAAGGATTCGTTCCTACCCCTATCCAAACCAGCACATCCTGGCGACCTCGTGGGCAAGGATGAACTATGACTTGTTCAATCGCTTCCTCCCACACGCGCCCTGGTTCAAAGAAGAACGTACAGGAGGGCGAAGATGAACTGAGTGAAAGGAGGAGGAGGGGGAGGAGGAGGAGGACCAGCAGCGCAAGATATATCAGGATCTACCCAGACTCAGAGCCCTGTTTTATGTGATCTCGAATGCCCTATCAGAGATAGTGGCCCCCCTTGGACAAATATCGGCCCTAAGAGCGGGGATCCGCCGTGATTGCATGAGAACGACGCCCCTTGGAGCACGGATCCCTCGTAATTTACAAGGGGTCTTGGTCCTGTTGTGATCTGGAACGGTCGCTGCTCAGGCCTGTTTTGTTGTAAGCAACGCTGGTACAAGCGCACGTAGCTCGAAGGCCAAGGGCCCTAACATGTTTTGGGAAGAAATGGCAGCGGGAAAAGTTGGTCAGGCATAGCTAAAGGCAGCAGGGAAGCGACAGGAATCACACTGCTCCTGCGCCGCGCGATTGGTGCCAAGAGCGACCAGGCACAGATCCGCCCGCCCCCTTGTGGGGCCACCAGGCTGTAGGACGAAGGTTCGCAGTTTCCTGTCCCAGTTGCAGCTTCCAGTTTCCACTGTTACAGTTCTACTTTTTGCTGCTTACTGTTACAGTTCTGCTTCTTGCTGCTTACTGTTCCTTGTTGATGGACCGCGCGAGGGGGGGAGGCCCAAAACGGGCATTTCTACCACGCCCTGAGCGTGTTGTCTGAATTGCTGGGGTGAATAAAAATTGACACCCCTCACGCACATTGGCGGGGTCAGGCTCCAAAAACACAAGGGATTTGCCACATTTCTCACATTCGGTGGCACCCCTCACGCAGATCGGCAGGGTCAGGCTCCAAAAACACATGGGATTTGCCACATTTCTGACATTCGGAGGCACCCCATCATGCAGATCGGCGGGGTCAGGGCGCACAAACATATAGCATTGCCACATTTCTGACACTCGATGGCAACCCTCACGCAGATCGACGGGGTCAGGTTCGGGATTTGCCACATTTATAAAGTCCGGATGCACCCCTCACGCAGATCGGCAGGGTCAGGGTCCAAAAACACAAGGGATTTGCCACATTTCTGACATTCGGTGGCACCCCTCACGCAGATCGGCAGGGTCAGGGTCCAAAAACACAAGGAATTCGCCACATGTCTGAAATTCGGCGGCACCCCTCACGGAGATCCGTAGGGTCAGGGTCCAAAAACACAAGGAATTCGCCACATGTCTGAAATTCGGCAGCACCCCTCACGCAGATCCGTAGGGTCAGGGTCGAAAAACAAACAGGTGCCGACACCGCTTCACGGCGGCGCCCAAACCTCATGATTTAGCTTTTGCATCTCCCATTTTCCGAGACAGGGGGCCGGCGGCATGGGGCGAAGCCCTTGGCGCTAACTTCATTGAGGCGAAATGGGGTGTAGGCAAGCGGCTTGTCTCCGGCTATTACTGGATGAACTGCGCAAGCCTGTGGGTCAAATTCTCTCGAAGGCTCTTGGTCCTTATTACGTTGTAGTAAGACATAAGCAAACATAGATAATCGTCATCACCTCTGAAAAATATTAGCCATGTGCATTATATGTATATATATAAGTATGTATTGAAAAATGTTGCAGCTAATACTGCAGACGAACGTTCAGACATTCGGGGTAGAGAAAACTCTACAACGCGGACATACATGAAATAAATGCCACGTGTCGGGAATTCTGCCATGCCGACTTACATGGAAAAAATGCCTAGTGTAGAAGATGCTTCCATGAAAATCGGACGAACGTTCAATGGCGTTCGCGGCTCGTCTTGTCGTGCAAGCTTGGCTTGGCGTCGGGCCCTGTGTTCGTCAGGTTGTTAATGATGCTCCACCTGTTCTCGGCGTCCCAGCGCAGCGTGTAATGGAGGTTGCTGAATTTTGCCTTGCCGTTCCGCTTGAGCTAGGCGGCATGCTTCTGGCACGTCCAGCAGGTGGCGCACACGCTGCAGTTGTTGTGGCCGACCCTGATGTTGCAGCCGTCGATGGCGCACGCGTTGATCTCGTCTATGCGCACCGTAGGGGTCCAGCCACTCCAGGACACGATCGACGCTGATGAGGCGCTCGATGGTGTCGATGGCGCTGCCGATGCTGGAGCTGATGGGGCGACCCCGTCCAATACCCCGCTGGACGCTGCTGCTGTCGACGGCGCTGCCGTCATGCCGTGGTCTTCCGGCGCCGGGCCTCGCGGTGCCCCGCTCGGGCGCACCGTCGCCGCAGACGAGGCTGCGGCCCCCGGGTGTTTAGTCCTGCAAAGATACCTCCCAGCCCAGCCAGGATGGCGGCGCTCACGCCCGAAACCCCAAGACTTGTCCTCGCGCGCAGCGTTCGTGATGCTCGGGCACTGCGGCGGGCAGCCGTTGGTCCGCAGAGCGCGGATGACGGCGGCGCGCACGCTCATGAGCCCCTGGAGGCACCACGCGATCCAGCCAGTCTCGGCAGGTGGAGTCGCAGGCGCCGGCTAACCCTTGACACGGCTGACGCAGGTCATCAACACAGACGCGAGCACGGCAGCGCGCGGCCGACCTCGCAGCTGCGCTTGCGAGCCCAATGAATGACAGCAGCACCTTTGCCTCCATCGCCTTGGCGGGCGCGTCCGCGACCATGGCCCAAGTCGGGATCCACGCGACCACGCGGGCGCACGGCCTCCTTGATCATGGAGGCGACGATCCTTAACCGCTTGTCCGAGGACTGGCCCACGCCGCATTAAATGCGAATCGCGAGGCCCTTGCTGTCGCTGTAGATCTCGCCGGGGGGCTGTTCGCCGAGCACGTCGATCACCCTCAGCGGCTCCTTGAGGCTGGAGGCCTCGGCGAGCAGCTGGCAGAACCACGCGTTGATCTCCGCGCCCTCCAGCGTCGCGTAGCCCTCAGCTGCCAGGGTCTACTTCACGGACGTCTCGACTGTCCCTGAGCGGGGCCCATCGCAATGCCCCCCCGGCTCTCAACGCCGTCTGCGTCTGCGAAAGCCGCGTCGCTGAAGCACGCGGCGTCGCCGGTCTTCAGGTCCACCAAGTTGCGCTTCATCGCAATCGCGAAGCTAGCCATCGAGCGCACGCAAGCGACGGCATCGCCGAGCGTCTCGGCGCCCGCCCCGGAGGCGAGGGCGGCGCGGCGAGCGGCGAAGCTCACCAGGCAGGCGACGTCCATTTGGGTCTGGCATGCGAGCCACAGCAGGTGCCCGAGCGCGCGTCGGCAGCTCGACACCTCAGCCGGCGCCGGTCGGTCGTCGGGCGCCCGCTGCTTAGTGGCTGAAGTCGACGTAGTCCGACTAGGTGGCGGCCGTCGTCTAGGCCACCCTGAAATCGTCCGCCTCCCTGTTCATCGAGCAGCCACAGTACTTGATACTTGATGATGCCCTCGGATCTTGTTCTCCAGAGCGGCGATCGCGGCCTTCTGCGCGCTCGAGTTCCGGCGCTGAACGATCCGCAAATCATCCGCGCACGAGTGGATCACAGCAGCGAGCCCCTTCTCGTCGTAGTATTACTAGAGCCTCTTCTCGAGCCTGCTCTCGATCAGGCCGCGCTCGCAGAACACCTCCTGCGCGTCTAGGCACCGCGGTCGCCCTGCATCCCGCGCGCCGCAAATGGCACACGTGGCCCTCGCGATCTCGCCAGGCCGCGGGCCGAGCGGCGGGTTCTTGGCCGGCGTCCGCAGGAGCAGCACCCTCTCGATGTTGCCCAACCTGAGGTAGGCAGCCATGGATTCCTAGGAGGCCAGGCCCCATCCAGCTCGGGCGGCCGCTGCCAGTGCGAGGCACAAGGCGTCGAGGGAAGCCGTCGGCGCGTCCGCTCTGACGTGCGAGATGTCCTCCTGGCAACCCTGGACGACGCGCCTCGCCCCCATGAGGCTCTGGCCCTTGCTGGCGAGCTCCCAGCGCGCGCCCACTGGCCGCATGACGGGGCGTCGGCGCAGGAGCTCTCGAAGCTCCTTGGCGGGCAGCTTCTTGTCGGCGCCGAACTCGGTCCACTTGGACCGCTCGAGCTGAATAGCCGTGTCCATGACCCTCTTCTCCCCGGTGCTCAGGTCGTCGTGGCGAAGCTCCTGGGCCGCGGCCTTGCCGGTCAGGAACACCAGGCGAAGCTGCATTCGAGCCTCCAACTCCTCGTCGTGGCTCGGCCCCTTGAAATGGTTGTCGAGGTAGTCGCGGCCGGTGTCCATCGGTCGCCTGACCCAGCGCGGCAAGTCGCCAAGCAAACACTTCCTCGTGGCCAGCTGGCCGAGGCGGTTGCGCTGGAGAGCATCGGTTGCCGCCCCTGAGCGTTTCTGGCATTGCGCCTCGGCCCCACGCCGCTCGCCTGCGGCTTGGGGTCTCCGAGCGGCAGCTTCTCGGCGATATTCGGCGGCGGCGATCGCCTCCGCAACCCATGCCCATTCCTGGGGCATCTTGGATGAACCGTCAGACCTGGCATCTGCTTCCGGCTGGACACGGCGCATGACTGAAACTGCCATGGTTCAGGTCGGGCTTGCGGAGGCGACGCTTCGGCCAGTTGCGGCGGCGCCGCAGCCGGCCGCGCATCGGCGCCTGAGTCGCGCTCGCGAAGGGCGGGCGCAGCTGGCGCCAGCGGCGGCGCAGGTCGCGCCGGCACACGGCCCCCCCCGAAGGGGCTGGTGCAGACCCGCCGGCGGCAGCTTCTCCACTCGTCGCACATTC